CACAGCTCATGACTGGATGTGTATATATCCTGCACCTGTTAGTTAAATATATATCCTGCATCTGCTAGTTAAATATATATCCTGCACCTGTTAGTTAAATATATATCCTGCACCTGTTAGTTAAATATATAGATAATTTAGTCATCTTTATGAAAAAGACGGTCGTAAAAAAATAATCTGACGACAGTAAAATAGGGTTCCTATAACACTGACTCAATGTTCCGCGTGCTACCTATTACAATACTTCAAACAATACACTTTTTTGAAGACCCGTCTGATGATCATTTATAACTTTCATTGCAGAAAAAACTCCAATTACATGATAACAGAGGGGAAAATTAACCATCAAAATTATTGATCATGATGTCTGTGTTTTATCTGTTACGCTGTTTTGCTATTTTCAACGTGTTCTGTTTAAACTGTCCTTTTCTGAAACAACAACTATGTTTTATTCGAAATGATATAGGACAAAAAATTATATCTGATGTGAAAGATTTGTATTCGGCAGTTTATCCTTGATTGTCGCGCTCAATTTTAGTTTTTCCTGCCTACGTATACAACATGAGATGAACTGCCCTACCTTTTAATCTTCTCATAATGAAGAAGTTGCATACCTTATATTCATCTAAACTTGGTGCCTGGTTATCAAAACACCGCAATGTGCAGGCAGCGACTTGTACACGTAGCGACTATGCACACGTAGCGACTATATACACGTAGCAGTTCTTACGTGTTGCGTGAGAACTGCTACGTAGACGTAACTGCGAACAGTCGATCATAAAGAACCATGGCCTAAACTTTAAAAATAAGTTAAAAGGTCGTAAGTTCATCAGCGTAAGTAAGTTCATCATTGACGGCCTTTCAAGCAAAATCCACCAATCATAGACAAGAAATTAGAGCGTAAATACTTACTATCACTTAGCGAGTTTTGAGAGTATGGCCCTCATATCAGCGCCAAACTATGCACAAGATGTTGTACTCAACTCTACGACTGCTCGGAAGTTGTGACTCGCCAATATCGAGTGCGTGAAGCGATTGGAAATAATTAGTTATTAACAGCACGTTGAATTTTAAAGATTTTTTATCGATACGTTAATAACGAAATTAGTGAACAACAAAGTTCAATCGTGTTTTTGCCTGCGGTTAATTGTTGTTTTCCATTCGCATTACAAATTATAAGCAAATTTCATAATTTAAATTATCGAGTTTATAATCATTAATCATTCACTAAAATCATATATCTATTGCATTGTAGAATCAAAATTAAATGGGACCTGACCAGCTAACAATTCTATTCAGCTGCAAAGATTGCAACCTTGGTCTCTCACAGTAGCCAATTCATACATCATAGTACTATATATAGTACTTAAACTCTAGGTATCCCTCTATAACAGATCCTCTCAGTTTTGAATGAGAAGACTTATTAATTTTTCCCTTCTAACGAATTAGTTATATATTTCTGAATTTTATGCCGCATATATTCTAATGTGAAATAATTCTGAATGGCGATAATCTGATAATGATACTCTGATCAGATTATTATGACAAGTTCTATGATGTCAGCAATTGACTGTTAGTCATTTATTCTTAGATTTAGTGTTGAAAACTCTTATAAAACTCAACCAAAGAATCAATGACGAAATTATTAATTAAAGCTCTAAGTTTTCTTCCTGCAAGTAGTCACAATTAAGCTGTCATAAATCAAGGAAATGAAGGGAAAATTGTTATCGAAACTGTACGTGCAAACGTACGTTTCCATTTAAATATAATACATCTAACTGCATTGGAACATTAAATTCCTTGGAAATTTTATCACTTGAAAAATTGGGTCTAATTGGTCATGCGTAGTACTGGTTGTTTGGTGAAATGTATTGGTTGAAATTGGTGATGGTTGAAATGTATTGGATTGAACTGCCACAAAATCCATTGGACGCTTGACACCTGCAATTAGAGAGTATTTTAGTATTCACCAATTACCTTGCAAATTGGGTTATGAGTAAAATATTTACACTCATTAAATGATTTATTTTTCCTTGACGATGCTCTGTTCACTTCAAAGTGACAAAAATAGTTGTAAAAATCTACTTTGGCCAGGGCAGAAGAGAAAAGAGGAAATTTAGCTAATGGAAAAATTAATTTATTGAACAAAGAAAACAAGAAAACGGGTATCATAACAAGAAAACTGGTATCATTTTTGGCCTTTCTACAAATTTAAGTACATTTTCATAGAACCACATGAGACATAGATTCAAATCTTGAAGCAAAATTTAGAATGACATTTAAGGAAACAACAACTTTTTGTCATTGAATGGCTCAAGAAGACAGTATAATCTAAAAGCTTACCTGTTGATTTACGAACAATCAACCACTGTTTTTCAGAGAGCGATATTTAAAATCTGATTAATATACAGTATTATTACTTCTTGCATCCATTACTCGCTGTAAGGGATAGAAATCATTGTTATTTAACGATCGGACTATTAATTGTATATGTTGTTTATGGTACGGAATTTTCAATTGTATTTTAGTTTGGAATTTACTGAAGGAAGGATGAGGTGATAGGATTATTGTGCCATGGAAAGTTGGAGCGTAGGCATGTGCTGCACGATGATGTCAATATGTAAATATATATGTGAATGGATTTGATACGGAAAAGATTTGTGAATGCCTGAACCTCGAATATCAAGATTCAAAGCTTGAATTCAAAAAGACCCTCAAGAGGATAACAAACGATGAAGTATAACGTTTATGTGTGATTATTCATTGTTATAAGTGTACAACACGTTGATCATTTGTTTATATGAAAGTGGGGCAATAAAGTGTTTTAATTACCTTGCATTGGTGACTAAACCTATACGATCATGTATGCAAATTGTTGGTTCAGAAAGCCCAACATTGAAAGCCCCCAACAGACCACACGACACTCAAAACCTCCGATTCAGTATCGATACTTTTCCTATTATTAGTTCCCCTAACTGTGTGTTTTCATTGCAGAAATTTTTTTGGATCAAATTATTCATTTATTCAATAATTGGATTATTTATATTGTGTAAATTCACATTCACTATGAATGTTAAGCAATTTGCAGACGACATAAGGCTAATAGACGCAGAACATTACCCACACAACCCCACAACATTAGAAATACAACATTTCATACAGAAGATCACCAGCTTCGAAAACAAATGGCTCATTAATAGGAAAACAAGTAAATTAGAAATCATCCCCCTCAGTAGGTGGAACACGTCCAATATTTCCGCCAATTTCAGGATTACATTCCATCCCATACCGCTTTAGCTGCCAAATATTAACTAGAAAACCAATTGCATAATTTTACACAAAATATACAAATTTTACTCCCCTCTCCTCACCTACATTATACTCACCAAGTACCCCACTTTAGTTAGATCTGCACTCATTCACCCGCGATACCTCTACACATCCTTAAAAAAACTCCGTATCCAAACAACTGAAGTTGACATACAAATATTACAAACACACACTGGTACGAATTGACATCATCAATAACACTTCACAAACACAACAACATTCCAACCATCAACACAGTCCTTCATCAACAAGCTCGCAAAACCTGGTCCACCATCAAAACATAAGACCTGAAGCTTTTTAATCAACTCGCATTCCCTCTAGAGCCACTGAAAAATAACACCTGATTTTAAAAAGCTCCAGTTTATTTTAACTGAGTTATACACCTCCATACCTGTACACGTAAACACTAATGACATATATCCCAAGCACACACATCCCTACTAGGCTACTACACACATCCTAACCACACACATCCCAACCACACATCCAAACAACACATATCCCAACCACACACATCCAAACAACACACATCCCAATACACATCCCAACCACACACATCCCAACCACACACATCCCAACCACACACATCCAAACAACACACATCCAAACAACACACATCCCAATCACACACATCCCAACCACAAACATCCCAACCAAACTATCTGAAATTGGTCGTCAGTTTTTGAACGAGCTCGCCAGGTGCAGTTGCACCTGTTTGGCCAACAATTATCTCTCCAACTAACCTGAGTCTCGAGCGACTCACTAACATAAATCACCAGCAGCGACTCGAGCGACTCACTAGCATAAATCATCACCAATATTTCAAATAAAGCAATGCAAAATGAAAAAGAATAAAAAGTTTAAAAATGAAACAAACGGAACGCATAAAGAAATAGTGTAAATATCACCATTACTTTTTTTCAAGAACTTGATGTAAAAATTCTGTAAATAACGAACCGCCACCCTCCGTCCCTCCTCCGGAAAACCTTCCAAAGCCCTGACGGGCCCCACCCCTCCTCCATAACCCCAATCAAACCCCATTCGCCTACAACAAACCAAATTATGCACCATGGTCATAGCCTCGCCTCCTACTATCTTTTCAATTTATCCTTCCTTTTTCTGGCCATTTTTCGCCCATACTTTCCTAGTGGCAGCGAAACAACCACAAACGAAACTCAACTCCTCTAATGCAAAGTACCAAGCCGTCCTTCAACACATATCAACTCACGGCTTAAGTATAGCACTCAATAGACAACTCACAACTCCTGAAATTACAGACCGCACACCAACACCGTCAAACAACAACATGGAAACGGCTCATCACAACACTCGAATTCAAGCAGGACCACAAACAATTCTGGAAATCATCAAAACGAATGCGCGGCCAAATGAAAAAAAAATCCCTGTAAAAATAAAGCTGTTTCAGTCAGTTGACTTCTAATTTGGTTACATTTTTATTTTACATTACATAAAAATTCCTCACATTACAGAAATTTAAAGATACGGTCAGTGATCCCGGAATCAACTCTTAGAACTAGACTCGAATAGCAGAATACTTAGTATGTTTCCTCCTTGCTTGAGCATATTAATTTTTAAATTGTTATTGACAAGATATCGCATATGAAAACCGAAATTAGTGCGGATGACCAAGTTCAATGTTATCAAAACAGAAAGGAGGCTTCTTCTTCGAAGTAGGCGCCTTCAACGGGGAGGAATTGTCAAACACGCTCTTCCATGAACGGGAGCTCGGCTGGACGGGAGCCCTCATGGAGCCCTCGCCCAGCTACCTCGCCCTCAAGAGCAAGAACAGAAGAGCGCACATCATGCGGGCGTGCGTCGCCCCCGACACCACCTACAGTGAACTCGACCTAGAGTCAGTGATTTTTCACCATTACACACAATATTAATTTTTTTCGAGCGTTCGAGTTACACACAACTCGAGCGTTTGAGTTGACCTAAAATTCATTTAGTCAACTTTCCTGAATCATGTTATTTAATCGGCGGTGAGATGAGTAACAAATGCGGCCTAATATATCTAGTTAAAATATAATTTAAGCATTAAATGTTTAGTTCCCTTATCGAGTTATAATTTTATGAGCCCCGGACTTCACGAGGCCCCCAAGTACACATTGTCGACAAATAATTCATGACAGATTTCGACCTGATCATGTTTGCCGTTTGGACTTCCATATCTACATCTTCACCAACCTTATCACTGACAAATGAATGTTCCAGAAAGCATTATATACGGTCATTTTTTCTTCCACAGTGTGGGTAAAATATATGCAGAGATGTACTCACTTGTTAATGCCAAGAAGGCACAAAAATCGGCGAGAGTTCCGTGCTATCCTTTCTACAGCGTCCTGACCGCGCTGGGCAACCCTGTGGTGGACTTCATGACACTCGACGTCGAGGGCGTCGAAATGAAGGTAACATTAAGCACCGGGTCAAATATTGATAACATTATTTACTGATAAAAGATTGTGAGATTTGAAAACTTCGAATAACGAGTAAAAAATGAAAATTTTACTATATTAAAGTGAGATGTAGACACAAATAACACAAAAATTAGTTACATTCTTCACAGACGTAATAGCATCTATGCTATCATGAGAACGTGAATAATTGCAGAGATAATCTTGGACTATCATAGCATTCCTGATTAGATAAAAGAAAATCCATTATTATTGTCATCATTGCACTTATACTAGAATCGTAATCAGATAATTTGTAATCACGTCTACAAAGTAAAATTTTTAGAATATCATATGACTTATGGGATGGTTATTTCAATATTGCGTTTCTAATAATTAATATGAGTAGTGACCTTGCCAATGATTGTAGGATTATTAGTTAATTATGCGTTTCTAATTAATATAAGTAGTGACCTTGCCAATGGTTGTAGGATTATTAGTTAATTTTGCGTTTCTAATTAATATAAGTAGTGACCTTGCCAATGATTGTAGGATTATTAGTTAATTATTCGTTTCTAATTAATATAAGTAGTGACCTTGTCAATGATTGTAGGATTATTAGTTAATTACGCGTTTCTAATTAATATAAGTAGTGACCTTGCCAATGTTTGTTAATAATTTGTTTGGGGCAGGTGCTGAGGAGCATCCCTTGGAATGACGTGAAGATCAGAGTGATCACCGTCGAGATCATCTGGGCTCCTGAAGGTCCTGAAGGCATCAGGAAGTTCATGGAAGCCAGAGGCTTCGAGTTCATTGAGAAACTCGACTACCACTATCTTTTCTTTGACAAAAAACTAAGTCATGGTTTGAACAGGAAAGTCAAAGTGTGAAGGCAGCCTGCACATTACAGGAATTGGAAGCATTTTCCTCCCAAGAAGTTGTACCACAGTCAACTCGCAAATTCGTGAATAAAACGTTGTAAAACTATTCTCGGGACCAAAATTTCTACTTCGAAAGTTGAATATTTGTTCTAACACATTCCATCATTCAGACTTCTCAAGTGGTTAATATTTATAATATAAATGAATAGTTTGTGTGCTCTGTTATAAGATAGATTGAAACATTTGCACTGTCATGCACCTTAAGGCGATTTTAAATGGCAGCTGAAAAATTATATCGATGCCTCCTACAAAAATGGAGACAAAAATACGTGCATCACAAAGCCAACACAGCAGCATAAAGACATGAGAGTAAACGTGAAAGTTGATCGCAAAATGTATCTTCCTTCTTTGCTCTATTTCGGTTCGCAATAAAAGACGCGAACAAAATTATACTTCAGTCAGACTGGATACCATGCATGCATGAGATGCGTCATTTTGCCACTTAATAAGTGGCAATAATCAATATTATTATTGCCACTTATATTATTAAAAGTTTTTCGAGTATGTGAATAAGATTTCGTGTTTTTCAGGGTGAGAATTTAATCGATACACGTGCTCCTGATTATGTTGGCTCTATACTGAGCTGAATCACTCTGAATAATTTTTAATACATGTGTGCTAATTTATTTGGTGTTTAATAACCTCGGCTAATAAAATCTAACAAAATTCTTAATCACTTCATCGAACCGTCAGTAAAAGTTACTCTATCAATAATAAAATTATTGTCACGGAAGATTTGGTTCATTGCATAATTTTCATTAGATAATAGAACTTACTTTTGATTTTTCATGGTGCCTCTAACTTGGCTTCTAGTTGGAAATGGACTTCGAGAGTTTGCGTTTTCAAGCTTCAAAAAAAATCTAAGAAACCGCATGTAGAGTCGGCTGATTACCTACGAATTCAATGAACAGTTCATTATTGTTTTTTGATTCATTTTTGTGTAGTTCAATTTTTCTCTTCTCATGCATTTGCGTTAAATTTAGAAATTATTAAGCCGTGTGTTTTGAAACTTGGAGATTGAAATAAATTGAATTAATAAGCATTACGAGATTGAAAATTACACACACCATATTTTAACAACTGCTACGCAATTTTATTAATCAAAGCCAAAGTATCAAAATTGCACTGGTAATATCTTGAAAAGTGCTACAAGATTCTTAATAAATCATCAATTGGAAGCAGGGTGGACAACATGGTCAACCCAAGCCCCATTTCTTTTACAAGCCCCATTTCTTTTACATGATCAACTCCCCTAAGTTTCCACCTTATTATAAGTTATTGTCGCTTAATTAAGTCATTTTATTGTATCGTAAACTTGCGTCTTTTTTTTTGCGAAGACTGATATACGTAAGAGAAGATAGAATGCATAAGATTGAATGCTAAGTTTGTTAAGTATTTGCTAAGTTTGTTTGCTAAGATTAAATTAGTTTTAAGTGAAGTTCGAAGTAACGTTTGTAATTCGTTCAGCAGATTCATTAATTTTTGTTAATTTATTTTTTTAATTTGATTGTGTTCCACAGATTCATTCCAATTAATTTGTTAGCAAGATCGTATTTTTAACAGCAATTTATAAATGTTGTGGATAGAGTGCGATATGATTCCTAAGACCGAAGACTATTTTCTAGATGCGCTGTAGGTTTTTTCGTCTCATTACAGGAACTAATGCAGGCTGCAGACCTAACTTACCTTTGGGCATTATTCAAGCGCCCGTCTATCTGTCAAATCGACGACGCACAAGAAACGAGTTCACGTGGAAATTCTGAAGAAGAATATCAATTACTCAATTACTTGATTCATCTCATTATTGTTATTTTAACAACCTTACAAAATAATTTCGTAGTTGTATGCACCACGTGAATGTAGCGCTATAGTTTTCTTTGGAATTATCATAAGCGGAATTTTTTATGTTAACTTTTATTGCGTAAAACTTATTATGTTCTGATGCTCCGATGATCTGACATAGAGTTATGGTTGTTGTCGATACTTCAAAATGGCGAAGTTTTCGTTACACAACAAGCGTGTAGACATTCATTTTGCTACATTTGCGTGGTGTGAAAACAATAATTCAAAATTTATCGCGAAAATCGTAATTCATCGCGACAACTGAAATTCATCGCGATGTTTGAAATTCATGAAATTGAAGGCGACATGCGGAGATGGTATCATGGATCTGATGATGGTGATTATGGATCTGCTCATCAATTCATTGAATGAGCAACGTCACGAGCATCGGCGATAATTTGCATGCTACTTAAAAGCTCAGTAATAAAGCCGCTCCGAAGAAAATCGTATATCCTTCAATGGTGAGATTGAGAATTTTACGCTAAAAAATACCTCAAGAATTTATTAAACCATTTAATTGCTTGCCAGTCACGGCCATGTTTCGCATGATATGAACTATCATGCTGAACGAACTAGTATACTACTAACCTTATAATAGTTGCTTACACGTAGACGATGACATTAACAACGATTAAATAAAATACTGTGCCACACATATAGCATCTAAGCTTTAACATAGCGTATGTATTTATATGTGAGCCATGAAGTATTGCCACTATTATTCGACACGATTAATCTTACTTCGTGTAGCCCCACTCGCATGACGCTTGTTCGTTTGATAGTTCAATAAAATAATTATTCATTTCAACTACTTATCTGTGTTGCTCTGCAACCACATTTTAGTCTCGGTGGATACGATGGATAATTAAGCTACTATGTCTAACTTTACATAAATGAGGTATACCCTTATTAAGCAAAAGTAAACTGAAAAAAATTGAAAGATCTTGGTGCGTACCGGAACGAATATATGATGGCTGGTTTTAGATATAAATAAGTCAATTGTATAAATAAATGTCACCCCCTCCATTTTTGTGCAGATTCTAATACATTAGGCATGATTATATTAGGTTTTGACGCATTTGTTATGTTTGTCGGCTAGCGAAATTGCATAGCTTCTATTCAAAGTTTGGCACGCTTTGTGACAGTTAAAAAACATATAAGAACGATTTTAATGTTTTACAGATAAATAGGAAGCGGTGGAATTATTTTTATAATAAATTTAGACACATCACACTTTACTTTAACTGTAGAAGTATATTTTGTCGCTACTCTCCATATAAAACGAGAATTAGTGACGACAATAACCAAATACCAGAGAATGCATCATGAGTCAGTCTGAAATATTCTTTTCTAATATGATATGAAGATACCCGAGAATATTTACTCATGAGTCAAGGTTTCATCTTTAGAAGCTTCAGTAAATAGAGCACTAGGCTTAGTTTACGTTCTCGAGAAAGCATGGTTATCTTTCCGTATGGCCCGACCGAACATATCTTTAGTGCCGGCATGCTTGTCTTAAGACGGTCATATCCAGCTCGTCTTTCGCAAGATTTACTTCGATATCAAGTGAGTCGTGGGCATAAAAAGAAGACTTTCAGACTTGCTTATTTCTGCGTAAAAGGAAGACTTATAGACATGCTTATTGCTGCATGAAAAGAAGACTTGCAGACTTTTTTATTGGACGTCCATACAAGTTCATGAGCTTGGCGAGCTCATGGCTCGTCAAAAAGCTGGTATTTTTGACACGCTCACTCGAGACGAACTCAGATTCTTCTGGAGCATCGTGTAACGTTTCAGTTCTAAAATGACGCGATACGTGACTCAGTTCGATTATATTTCAGGCTAATTTATGATGGGAATTGAGCTGGAAAAATTTGAAAAATAGAGTTAGTCAATCATGGAATGATGGTAGAGAATGAATAATGTTTGCTATAAGGCCCAGTCAAGCTAAGCAAAAAGGGTTGTCATTTTGAACTAAAAACTTATTTGTTCTAAATACGGGGACCTTCCCCGGATCTGAATCTTTCATACTTAGATTCTCAAAATTAATTCTTCTTTACGGGCATTTAAATTGTGTCGCAGCTGGCTTTCTGTAATGCCCTAGTCTCAAGTGGATTATGTTAACCTTAATTTAATGAGCAAGTTTCCATCTATTGTCACTAAAAATGAACTCCCAATTAAAAAGACCCATCACCGCTCCAGTTTGTATATGAGGCTGCGTTATAATGCCTCTGCCACTCCACAATTATCTGGCCATCGTTTCGTACTTAGCATCACTCCCTAACTTGCCCAAAAATTAACATGTGAGCAATTAAACTAAACTCGGAAAATCAAATTGTTGTTGTTTCTGCATTTTTTTAAAGATGGAAGCAGCAATATCTAATTAATTAATTAATTAATGCAATTGGAATTTGTAAATTGAGCTAAATTAAAGTTAGATATCTACTCCATGCATTGGAATATTTAAATTTCAATTATATTCATTTTTTTTCAGAATAATAGCCGTACTTTTTTTAATGTAGTATTCAACATTGAATTACTGCATCAATATGCAAAACTTTGAAAACTCCATACCAATAAATTTATCTTAATTGTTCATTCTCTCTTGTAATGGCACGAGAAATTCAAATAATGAATTTTTTATGCTTGCCCCCGAAATGGTTGAAGTGTTCTAATATTACACATGATATTTCAACAGTATTTATGATGTATATTCATTTGCCACTATTCGGAGGTTGCATCATGCATAAACGATGGAATAAGTCTGTTATGAATTATTTTCGAAGCTATGGAAAGCTTACACGAGACTAATACTCCCTATAGGCATGGCCAAACTTTAATCGCCCCGGGAATATTGCGAAGAAACTAGACCAATTATTGCTAGAATGGTGGAACAAATGTAGCCTACATATTACTGAACATAAATACAGCCGCGGTGTGTCCGCTAATGAGTACGCGAAGACATTACTGTATTCTACTTGCGCTACTTAGCCTCAGTAAAAAAGCACAATTTATTCATTGAATCAGAGACTTGAAAAATTATTATAGGTGTAACATTTTTTAGGGAATGGATAATAAGTGATTAGACGGCAATTAAACGAACACCATGCATAGAGCATGAATACAAGTTAAAATGCTATTTATAATCTCGTACATAGGCCGTGACCAAGTGAGCTCCGTATAGTTAAGAATTGAGTGACAGAATGACGTAGAACATTGAAACTTTGTTTTCACAAATGTATTAGTCCTCAATGTCTTTGTCTTTATTTTTGTCTAAAAAATAATAATTTCGTACATGTATATGAAACGAAATTTCACTTGCAATTTGAACTGTTTGTAAACGGTATCTGCAATACCTCATCTCAGTTCACCGACGGCCGTTAGAATATTACAAGGGTCTTTTAAAGCGGGTGCAAATTGAAAACGTCTTCAAAGATCACACGAGCTTAAGAATATCTAAATTCTTAATCGCTTTGATGATATTCTTAAGAGAAATACTGAGCCCACCACTGCTTTCTTTGGCTCCAGATGAGCTCGTTACACCAGCGTAAGTGTAGCTCCGCGAAGGCCTCTCATGTCATTATCTCGACCGCAGTTCTGTGTAGGATTTGAAACTTGGCTTTGCGATTATAAATGCCCACAAGAGAAAATAAGATATAAAAATTATAGAATTATGCAAAAAACGATTTTTAATGTAAAATTTGTTATAAACGAACAATGGTTTAAGCTGTAAAAATGTGTGAATTATAAATGCCTCCAAGAGAAAAGAAGATATAAATATTATAGAATGATACAAAAAACAATTTTGAATGTAAAATTTGTTATAAACGAACAATGGTTTAAGCTGTAAAAATGTGTGAAATTAAAGATGACGAGAATTAAAGTACAATCTATATACTGCATAGTTCATGGAGTATGAAAAATCTGCGGATGAAACACTGAAAATTAAATTATAACGACCATGAGGGAGGACACACATTACTCTTTTCCCAATTAGATTCTCTGGATTCATTTTATCGGAATTAGAATAATGTGTTTCCATATCTGCGACCTATATATCTATTTACTGTACCAGATTCAATAATTGCCAAAAAATGTATTGATAAAATTGTACTTTTAAGTGCAATTTAACCGCACCGAGATTACCAGACGGTAGCAACTGTCCACCACAAAATACAATTCGCAGTCTGCGGCAGATGGCGTTGGTTCGCGCGCTAATTAGTGACGTGGTTCCGATGGGCACTTCGGTCACAACATGTCGGCACGTGCGAACGATTCAATTTGGAATTGTTCATAGTCATGCGTTATTCATGAAGCAATCTGTGGATGCAAGATGGCTGCTTGCTTCACGACGAAGATTTTCTTCATCATATTTTTCTGAATTTGAGATTCACGAATTGGGTTATTATATTGCGCCATTTAATTTACGTTAGTGAGAGATCAATAAATCCCGGCTGTTGTTATGTGTTTTCTTCATACAATTAATATTTATATGATTCATAGTTTGGTATGAATAAAGCATATATTCATCAGTTTAGAATAATTTTGAAATGACCAAGTGGTTTGTTGGACGTCAAGAGAACTCCTAACGAAAATTTTGTGCAACTTTTTCACTTATTGTCTGTCGCTCAAGTTGCAAGAGAATCGTAACAAGTTTTAGTTCGCCTCGTGCCGAGATAAGAAGCTCAGACGCTCAGTTATGAATGATTTTAAAATTCAAGGCCTGCTCCGTAGAAAACTTGTTCAGTCTGATCCAATTTATAAAACTCAATGGCAAATATTTTACTGATTTATACAAGTTCTCGCGTTCCTCGCCCTTTTTCTGAGATGTATTTATTAGCTAGGGAAAGCAACTACTGTACGTAACTTTTGGGTGTACGTATTATTGATAAATAAATCGAATTTGTTTATTTTTCTCACGCATATTTTAGTAATTAAAAAAATATGCAATTCATTACTAGCAACTAAGTACCATTGATTATATTATGAGAAATTTGCTTCCTTGTTATCGGTCAATCATGATCCGAAGGTAATTGAAATGAAATTCTTTTTTTTAGGAACTGGGTTCAGCGTTGTATTGAAATGCTCATCGCTTTAGCCTAAATTCTAATTATGATAGATGTGTGTCCTTTCCTTAAATTGCTCAGACGATCCATTCCACGCAATTTCAAGATGCCTTAGCAATTTTCGCAGTACTGTGTATTATTCCTACGAGCCAGATTTTCTTTCAATTTGCGAAATGGCTTCAAGGACAGGCGCCGAGACTCGTCATCTCTTATTCATGAAGAAGCTCTAACTGGAAGACCTTCCATTGGAAATCCAGAGGCCTGAAGAAATCAAACAATGGAAACCAAAGACCTGCCAGAAAGGAATCAGGATTCCTCGGTATCTGAAATTCTCGCTCGAATGAAAGCTGGTGTCATTACCCGTAGACTTTCATCCGAGTAATCGTTAACCGTGATTGCCGTATGGTCACTAGAGCCGTGATCTCCACCACTGCTTGCGTTCAGGTTTAGGTTAGTGGAGTCATCAATGAAATATTCAGTCGTATCTTTGTGTATTTTATGGTGTGTAACATTTCAGAAAACGAAGATCTGGATTGATTTTATGCATATGTGAAATAAAAAGAGTGAGATCGTGGGTAATAATGAGAAAGGATGCAAAGCAACAAAAAGGTGGAGACAGACTAGGAGCGATCACAAGCAAGGGCGAAAGTTACTTGCATTACAGACCAGACCGAGAGTAAAAATATGAAATGATCTTCTCAAATATAAATACTCCACAATACAATTATTGGTTCAAATTCATTAAAATAATTTAAATCAAATTAAATAAATTAAAAATAAATTAAAAAAAAAAAATAAATTAAAATTATTAAATTTCGGATTTCGGTTCAATAACTTCCAAAATAAATGACGTAGACTGCTCTGGTATTTCAGTTTGTGACAACGTTTCGATTTAATCATGTCAAATTTACACACAGAGTGGGGTAGTCCGTAGCACAGGCATTTTTAGCAGGCATTGTCACATAAGTAATGCAGCTAGAAGATAATCGTCGGTCTAAGGAATCATATCTCACTCAATCCGCAGTAACGTTCTCTTATAATTTGCTACTTAAAAATATTATAAGTCTAAATCTTGCTAGCAAATCATTGGAACAAATCTGCGGAACACATTGAAGTTAAACAATAAATTAATATATAAATTAATGAATCTGCAGAAAAATAGAGACTTCACTTGGAACGAATATAAACTTAGCAAACAAAAATTGGTATAAATTTAACAAACTTTGCATTCAATTTTATGCATGCGATCTTCTCTTATATCAGTTTTCGCGAAGAAAAGACGCAAGTTTACGATACAATAATCAGTTTTCGCGAATAAAAGACGCAAGTTTACGATACATTACGCGAAAAAAAAACTTATCATAAGATTAAAACTTACGGGAGCTGATAATATATAAGACAAGGGCTTAGAAGCAATCATGTTGTCAACCCTGCCTCCGATTGATTATTTAAAATGCATCATGTAACATTTTTTTTAAGTTTGAAAACGCAAACGCTCGAAGTCTATTTTCGACTAGAAGCCAAGTTAGAGACACCATGAAAAATCAGAAGCAAGTTCTTTTATGTAATGAAAATTATGCAAGGAACCAAATTCTCTGTGACAATACTTTTAGTATTGATCGAATAACATTTACAAACGGTTCGTTTAAGTGATAAAGATGTTTGTTAGAATATTATTAGCCGAGGTTATTAAACACTAAATAAAATAGCACACATGTATTAAAAATTATTCAGAGTGATTACATTGAGTAGTGCTAAAGAAAATCAAAAGCAAGTGTATCCAATTCTCACCCTGAAAAACAATAAATCTTTTTCATATCCTAGAAAAAAATTAACATATGTTGACTTACTAAGTGGCAAAATGACGAATCTCATGCATCATAACATCAACCTAATATAGAAAAAGCATAATTTCGTTCGCGTTTATTATCGAGGACCGAAACAAAGCTAAAAAGGAAGATACATTTTGTAACTAACTATCACATTTACTCTCACGTCTTCATGTATCTATGTTGTCATTATGATGCGCGTATTTTTGTATCAATTTCTATAGGAGGCGTTATATAATTTTTCAGCTGCCGTGTAAAATCTCCTTCATATCACTCTCATGACAGTGCAAATCTTTTAAACTATCTTATGACAGAGCACACAAACTATTCTTTTATATTATAAAATCGTAAACACATGAGAAATCCGAATAATTAAATATGTTAGAACAAAAGTTCAACTTTCGGAGAAGAAATTTAGGTCTCGAGAAGAGTTTACTCTGGAGTTGACTGTGGTGTGTGTGAGTTGACTGTGGTGTGTGTGAGTTGACTGTGGAGTGTGTGAGTTGACTGTGGGGTGTGTGAGTTGACTGTGGGGTGTGTGAGTTGACTGTGGGGTGTGTGAGTTGACTGTGGGGTGTGTGAGTTGACTGTGGTACAACTTCTTGGGAGGAAAATGCTTCAAGTTCCTGTAAGGGGCCAGCTCAGCTACCTTCACACTTTGACTTTCCTGTTCAAACCATGACTGAGTTTTTTGTTGAAGAAAATATAGTCATTTACATAGTGCGCAATGAACTCGAAGCCTCTGGCTTCCATGTACCTCCTGATGCCTTCAGGACCTTCAGGAGCCCAGATGATCTCAACGGTGATCACTCTGATCTTCACGTCATTCCAAGGGATGCTCCTCAGCACCTACCGCAAACAAATTATTAACAATCATTGACAAGGTCACTACTTATATTAATTAGAAACGCATAATTAACTAATAATCCTACAATCATTGTCAAGGTCACTACTTATATTAATTAGAAACGCAAAATTAACTAATAATCCTACAATCATTGCGGCAAGGTCACTACTTATATTAATTAGAAACGCACAATTAACTAATAATCCTACAATCATTGGCAAGGTCACTACTCATATTATTTAGAAACGCAAAATTAACGAATAATCCTACAGGTCGTATGATATTCTAAAAATTTTATCTTAAGAAGCGATTTCAAATTATCTTCTTACGGTTCTAATATTAGTGCAATAATAACCATAACCACAGAGGTTAATTCTTTTACGGAATCACGAAAGCTATCAAATCTAAGATTGTCACTACAATTATTTTCCCTTTCATCATCGCGTAGATATGATTACGTCTTTGAAGAATACAAAACCTAATTATTTTGCTTTTCGTATCTACCTCTCAGTTTAATATATTAAATCTTTAAATTTTTACACGTTATTCCAAGTTTTCAAATCTCACGATCTTTCATCAGTAAATAATGTTATCAATATTTGACCCGGTGCTTAAAATGTTACATTCATTTCGACGCCCTCGACGTCGAGTGTCATGAAGTCCACCACAGGATTGCCCAGCGCGGTCAAGACGCTGTAGAAGGGATAGCACGGAACTTTCACAGTTTTTTGTGCCTTCTTGGCATTAAGAAGTGAGTAAGTCGCTGCACGAACTTTTCCCACACTGTGGAAAAAATGAAATTACCGTTTAATATGCTTTCCGACACATTCATTTATCAGTGATGATGTTGGTGAAGATCAGATATGGGCGTCCAGAAGGCAAAAAATATCAGGCCTAAATTTTTCATGTATTATTTGCCGACATTATGTACTTGGGGCTTTATGAAATCCAGGACTCATAATATCATAACTCTATAAGAGAACTACCCATTTGATATTTCAAGTAGATATATTAGGCGGCATTTGTCACTCATTTCAGCACCGAGCAAATATTGGTGCTGAAATTTCAGCTAATTTCAGCACCGAGCAAATATTGGTGCTGAAATTTCAGCTAATTTCAGCACCGAGCAAAGCTGACAATAAATTTTAGGTCAACTAGAACGCTCGAAACAATGAATAGGTGCCTCGAAAAGTAAGGCAAAACTGTAAAACTACAATATAAAAATGCATTGTACAAAATTTTTAAAAATTTTTGTATTTTGTAAAAAATACAAAAAATATTGTGTAATAGTGAAAAATCACTGACTCTAGGACAAGTTCACTGTAGGTGGTGTCGGGGGAGACACAGGCCCGCATGATGTGCGCTCTTCTGTTCTTGCTCTTGAGGACGAGGTAGCTGGGCGAGGGCTCCATGAGGGCTCCCGTCCAGCCGAGCTCCCGTTCAAGGAAGAGCGTGTTTGACAATTCCTCCCCGTTGAAGGCGCCTACTTCGAAGAAGAAGCCTCCTTTCTGTTTTGATAACATTGAATTTGATCATGAAAACTAACTACGATTTCCATAGGCGACAGCTCGTGCATTATAACTCAAATTATAAATGCTCAAGCATCGAAGAAACGTACTGCACTCTTGATTCAGAGACCACTTACCGTATCTTTAAAAACTTCCTCCAAAAATTTATCTTGGCCGAACTCGGAGAAGAATCTCTGGCTTGGTTTGTCAAGGTGGTACGGAACATGAAGGGATGGCGCGAGGAGGGCTTCCTGTGCTGCCTTGATGACGGCCTCATCTCGCATGTCCTTCCCCAGGAGGTCAGGGTGCAAGAAAAGGTCCTCCGTCTCGGGCGAAGAACGGTTGATCATTGACCTTGAGTTGCCTACAGATGAGTTCATTAAGTGTCAATAACTGGCAAACATATGTGGACTATTCTAAATGCAGGAATGAGAAAAAAATATATTTTAAATGTTTAATAATTGATTATGTTTCAAATATATATATTCGAAAATGTACTTTTGAAAAACATGTTATAAAGTACTCATCCTCAAAAATGTATATTTATTAAAAATTTGGCGAATTTGACAAACTTTCAGTTTGCATAAATCAATCGGAAAACTCAATTAAAAAAAATAAAATTTGCATGTAATACTTTGACTTACTTTTAATAACCTCTACAGTCTCTTTAGGCGTGAGTGACCGAGTCAGAATTATTAGAAAGATGCACCCAAAGCCTAGCAGCAGACCTGCACGAGCTGCTTTCATCGTCATAAGCTTCATTCTGGCCCGGAACTGCATTCCTAAGAATCTGTCTAGAAATTTTTTTTAGGAATTTTTTCTGTAATGTAAGCACGGTTAGTGAAAATAAACATTTAAGAAAATTAGAAGATAATTAGGAACAGCCGCTTTAACAGTCTTGTATCAGGGATGATTGTTTTTATTGGACCGCGCATTTGTTTTATCGATTACCAGAATAATTGTTTGTGGTCCTGCCTGAATTTGAGTGTTTTGATGAGCCGGTGTCGTGTTGTTGTTTGACGGGGTTGGTATGCGGTTTGTAGTTTTGGCAGTTGTGAGTTGTCTATTGAGTGTTATAGTACTTGAGCCGTGATAGTTGATATGTGTTGAAGGACGGATTGGTACTGCGTTTGCATTGAAAGAGTTGAGCTTCGTGTGTTGCTGTTTCGGTGCCATTAGGAAAGTATGGAAAAGGGCAAAAAGTGGCCAGAAAGAGGAAGGAGAAATGGAAAAGACAGTAGGAGGCGAGGCTATGACCATGGTGCATAATTTGTTTTGTTGTAGGCGAATGGGGTTTGATTGGGGCTAGGGAGGAGGGGTGGGAGCTCGTCAGGGTTTTGGAAAGTTCGCCTGGCTGTTCATAATTTACAGAATTTACACATAAAGTTCTTGAAAAAATAGTTGTGGTATTCACATTATTGATTCATGGGTTCCATTTTTTTCAATTTTGAACTTTTTACTTTTCTTTATTTTTCATTAAATTTGATTTGATACATTGGTGATGATTTATGATAATGAAGGTGGTGAGTGAGTCGCTCGCCCTCCAGGTGCAATTGTTGGTCAAACAGGTGTAATGTGGAGTCTACAGGTGCAACTGCACCTGACGCGTTCGTTCAATAACTGACGACCAATTTCAGATAGCCCTTTATGTGTGTTGTTCGGATGTGTGTTGTTTGGATGTGTGTTATTTGGATGTGTGTTGTTTGAATGTGTGTTGTTTGGATGTGTGTTGTTTGGATGTGTGTTGATTGGATGTGTGTTGTTTGGATGTGTGTTGTTTGGATGTGTGTTGTTTGGATGTGTGTGGTTGGGATGTGTGTGGTTGGGATGTGTGTGGTTGGGATGTCTGTGGTTGGGATGTGTGTGGTTGGGATGTGTGTGGTTGGGATATGTGTGGTTGGGATATGTGTGGTTGGTATGTGTATGGTTGGATGTGTGTGGTTGAGATGTGTGTGGTTGGTATGTGTGTCGATCAGTGATCTCGTGTGCATGTATGGAGGTGGAGAACTCAGTTAAAATAAACTGGAGCTCTTTAAAAACAGGTGTTATTGTCTATGGCTCTGGAGGGAATACGAGTTGATTAAAAAAGCTGCAGGTCTTATGATTCGATGGTGGACCAGGTTTTGCAAGCATGTTGATGAAGGACTGTGTTGATGGTTGGAATGTTGCAGTGTTTGTGAAGTGTTTTTCATGATGTGAATTCGTACCAGTGTGTGTTTGTGATATTTGTATGTCAGCTTCATTAGTGTGAATATGGAGTATTTTGAAGGATGTGTAGAGGTATCGCGGGTAAATGAGTGCTGATCTAACTAAAGTAGGGTACTTGGTGAGTATAATGTGGGTGAGGAGATGGGCGTAAAATCTCTATATTTTGTGAAAAAATATGCAATAATATTGGTTTTCTAGTTGATACTTGGGAGCTAAAGCGGTATGGGATGATGTGTAATCCTAAAATTGATCTTATTTTCGCGTATGGGTATTAGGTATCGGCTATGGAAATATCGGACGTGTTCCGCCTTCCGAGGGGGATGATTTCAAATTTACTTGTTTTCGTATTAATGAGCCATTTGTTTTCGAAGCTGTCGATCTGTTGTATTGCATGTTGTGTATCTAATGCTGTGTGGTTGTGTGGGCAATGTTATTAGTCATATGTCGTCTGCAAATGTAATATAATCATCATTAGGTAGTGATGGTGTAGTGATGGTGGGAGGCCGTGTATGTAGAAGCTATAAAGAGAGTGGAGAAAAGGCAAGCCCCATTGGGGAAAAGGGGGCTGTCTTCATCGCTTGTGTGTCCAATCTTGTTGACGGGTTTAGTTACATCGTGGAGAACTAATCTGTAGAGTGTCGTTGTGGGTGCTACCAGTAGCGTCTAGGAAAGAAATTATTGGACTTGAACGAGCTTCATGCTCGTTCATTAGTCTTGAGGAAAGTCTCTGCGATGGAATTGAATTCTGAGTCGGTGATAGGTTAAAATCAGAAGATAAATACTCATTTTTCAACACTTCTCTCTAACTTCACTTCTTGTTTGTTTGTTTTTTTTTTTTTTGTTTTTAGCGCATTTTCTCATTTATGGAAAAAATGCACTATTGTGCTCGCCATGTCCGTCTGTCTGTCTGTCCGTCCGTCTGTCCGTCTGTCCGTCCGTCCGTGACCTCAAATTTTCGTCGACGAAAAAATGGCTCTCTGTCACTCACTGCAGTGAGTACTGAGTTATATTTTTTGTTTGTTTGTCTGTCTGCTACAAATCTTATAATCGATATTTGACACACTTCGACCTGTCCAATCGATCTGAAATTATGCACACTTGCGTAAAGTTGGAGACAATGCATGAATCAATTGACAGAATAAATAATTTTTTCAATATTAAACAAATTTAAAAATAATTTCGTCTGCTACAAATCTTATAATCGATATTTGACACACTTCTACCCGTCCAATCGATCTGAAATTTTGCACACTTGCGTAAAGTCAGAGAGAATGCATGAATCAATTGACAGAATATAAAATTTTGAAAATTTACAAAATTTTAAATATTAAAAAAATTTTATTTTTTTTAATATACATAAATAAAATTAAAAATTCATTGTACATGTGTAACAACAAAGACACTGGATTCTTTAGAAATGTTGTCTTTAAAAAGTAATTTTTAACGCATATTATTAACATTTCAATCACATTCTGTCCGCACGTCCCAATAGGACAATGAATTTAAAGCATTCGTAACGATTATCATTGTATTAAAAAATAACTTCTTATCTTGAAACGACATCGCATACTTGGTTAGTGTTCGACACACAAATGTATTTCCTCAGACACAGGAATGTATAAGTAATTCCTTAGAATGAAAAAATTAATAATTCTTCTCGTTCAAAACTTGGAGGATCTGTCTTAGAGAAATACCTAGAGTTTAGACACGTCTGAGATTTATGAATTGGCGACTGCGATAGACCAAGATTCAGAGAGCAATCTTTGTAGCTAAATTCAATGCTTGGCTGGTCAGGTTTCATTTGATTTTTGTTTTACAATTCAATAGAGATTTGATTTTAGTGAATGATTATAAAACTCGATAATTTTAATTTCAACATTTGCATATAATTTCTAATGCGATGGAAAACTATAATTAATCGCAGGCAAAAACACGATTGAACTTTGTTCACAAATTTTTTTCTTAACGTATCGACAAAAAATCTTTCGTAATGCACCGTGCTGTTAATAGCTAATTATTTTCAGTCGCTTCACGCAATCGAAAGTTGGCGCGTCACAACTTCCGAGCAGTCGTAAAGGTACAACTTAATTCTTGTGCGTAGATTGGCACAGATATGTTCTTTATAATGCCCCCGTTCGGAATTAAGTTTACTTAACACTGTTAGAAAAATTCCCGTTAACGGTATTACCGGCGTTTCAGTGGCCGGTCGGCATGGAAAAGAAACACCGTGTTGCCGTTTTTTATCTGATTTAACACTAGAAATCCGTAAAACATCTGATAAAAACGGCGAAACTGTTTATTTTCACGGAGCGAACGGCCACTAGAATGCCAGTGGGACCGTTTTTTCACCTTTTTTTCTAACAGTGTAGCAGTTCTCAGGCAACACATAAATCGCTACCTGTACATAGCGGTGTTCTGATAATTAGGCACCATGTTTATTTGAATGAAAGGTATGCTACTTCTTCATCATGAGAAGGTTAAAAGGTAGGGCAGTTCAAGTCATGTTGTATACGTAAGCTGGAAAAAATAAAATTGAGCGCAACAATTAAAGATAAACTGCCAAATGCAAATCTTTCACATCAGGAATAATTTTTTGTCCTATATTATTCCCATGTGAGCAATTTTACCGTTCGGAAATAAATATTTACATCGTATCGTAATGTTACAGGAAGTACGTCAAACGTCTTTGGTATTTTCAATAGGCTCGAACGCCGGCAATCTTGTTGAAGAACGATCTGAATAAAGTTTATATGTTAATTTATCTAAGGGTATTTTAAGCACTTGGTTTCTGTTCATTAGAAATTCAGTTCAGGCGAATAAAATGGAGTTATTGTTTCAGGTAAGGACAGTTTAAACAGAACACGATGAAAAAATCAAAACCAGCTTAACAGACATCAAGATCAATAAGCTGTTCAACAAATTTTTAACAACGCAGCCATCAGATCTATATCAGAAACACAATATCATTGTTGAAGCGACAGAGTGGAGTGACGTAAGGTAGAGCTGGCAGTACAGGAGAGACATGGCTCGCGGCCCCACATACGTACATAACCTTGCAGTACTTCACTGCACCTGTAAATAAACACAGACTTCCATGTTCCTAACTGCTCGGTTTAAATTCACTCCATCGCGTGAGAATTATAAAATAAGATGAATAAGACCAAGTCTACGCTGTGGCGTTTTACAAAAAAAAATTCTCTGTTGGTGACGAAGTAATATAGTTTCAGTGGCAGCTAGCGTTGTCTTTTTTCTGTTTTTGGTGAAAGCACAAACACGTTAAGTGGTAATTAATTTTTCCTCGCTGTTATTATGTAATTAGAGACTAAACGTTTTTTCCACAATAGAGGTTGTAAATGATCATCAGACGGTGTTGCGGGAGAGTTTCAACACATATCAGTTACCCCAACGAGCTAGATAAATAATAGATGCAGAAGTTGGGAAAAAGGCCAGTAAACGCACTTAAAATCTGCGTTGTAAATCTTTGATAAGAAATCTAAAAAAATACACGAAGCCGCGAGCTTTAAATCTTGTAAATACAAACAGCTTAAAATACCCGACCGGTGGGGAAACAAGAAATTTTCTTTTCAATCCATTATGCACAAAGCTCGTGTCCACTCCAGATGATGACCGCTTATAAAATGAGACATGAGCTTATTTAGAACACTCCCGTAGTAACCAACGGAACACCTGGTCAACAATCAACACCTGGCGAGCTGCGCAGCTACAACAGTTCTTCAAAAAGTATGTTGTTTAAAGTATTGTAATGGGTAGCATGAGTAACATTAAAAACAGTGTTATTGGTTCCAAATTTTACTGTCGGCGAATAATTTTTTACGACAGTTTTTTTCATAAAGATGTCTAAATTATCTATATATTTATTTAACAAGTGCAGGATATATTAATAAACGCATGCAGTCATGAACGGTGGCGAATCGTGAACACACTCATTGACAGCTGAGCGGAAACAGAGTTCCTAACCGATGAGAATCGTGAGATGCCACCGGATAGGTAGCTGAAACCGAACTGTAACTGCTGAAAAACAACCTATAATTCTGACATGCTATATTTATCCATTATCATATGTTTATCTGATTGAAAAAATCCATGTTATCGACCTAAGAACGGCAATGAATTCCGAGAACAACTCCGAAGGAAACCGAGCAAGTTAGCGATGTTACGTGATTTTAGTGACTTAACAGTTGTTTCAAATACGAACATGAGTGCAATATCACGACAAGGGAAACGATATAATTCATGGGTCAAATCTCCCAATCCCATTACTTGTATTGTGAATTTCTAAATATTATAATTATGCATCACGATGTTATTTTCTTTTTTCTTCTAAACAATTTTTAAGTGAGATTTTACTTCTAAGGCCCCTCCTTGCATCAGTTGGAAGAATCGTCAACTTGAAGCGGGTGGGTGAAATAACAATATGGCTTTGATGTTTCAAGCTTCATCGACAATCATGTAAGTCAGGTGTCAATCTGGCGTCACATTATAATCATAATATTGTATGTAATTGGGACGTAATATTCACTTGACCTGATAGAGATTGAGGACGAGTCAACATCTGGAAGACACGTGATAGATCACGCGATCAAGACCTTAGTAGTGGGCGGAAGCCTACTACTAAGCCTATATAAGGGCTGCCTATATAAGGGCTGCCTATATAAGGGCTGCCTATATAAGGGCTGCCTATATAAGGGCTGCAACCTCAAGTAAGGCCCCCCGCAGTAGTTGATCAGCGCTCCGCGTTATAGCGTGTCAGTAGAGTCCTCCGACCTTATGGTCGGCCCCGTAGCTTATACCTCTGTACCGTAACTCTGTATAACCACCCCGCATACAAGATACGTTATCTGGACTGATGTGTCTTACTTATCCCTCACTACCTTAGTCAACGAACCCGATCCTCAGGTAGAGCTTAATATAATGATTGCCACGTATTTAAGAACTATTACCTTCGGCAGACCTTTGTAAAATAATTTCAACCTGCTGCCGGAGCTTGTCACATTTTGTGCTACTCTGCCTATTGTTCAATCTATAGGAGGAGGGAATTACAAATTTTTACTCTTCCCTTTATATAATAACTTGGTTCGGAAATTCCACCAGTCAGTCATGGAAATATAGATCACACTCTGAGAGCATCTCCGAAGATGCCGACTCCAAAAGAAGACGCATCATCAACCAAACATATTAAATTATATTACAGTATATTATATTATATTATATCTGTCTCTTATACACATCTAGATGTGTATAAGAGACAGAAGTCTCACCTGGCGGTGCTGATCTTGCACTGTCTGATGGTCTCAACAGCCCCTAAGTCTCACCTGGCGGTGCTGATCTTGCACCGTCTGATGGTCTCGACAGTCCCTATGTCTCACCTGGCGGTGCTGATCTTGCACTGTCTGATGGTCTCGACAGTGGCCGCCAGCCTGTGGTCAGCGACTGTGATGTGCAAGGCGGCGCAATACCTGCAGCCTTCCAGAAAATTGTCGAGCCATTTCACCGCTTCTTGGAGGCGCTTGAGCGCCTCTGGGTCGGGCTTCTTGCCTTGAAACACCACCGGCATCTGGGGTAATTCAAGCCAAATCTGGGGTAATTCACGCCAAATCTGGGGTAATTCAAGCCGAATCTGGTGTGATTCAAGCCAAATATTGTGTTGAAAGACAAGGAACAGGGGCAATTTAATAGCTATGTGAAGGTAATTTGAATTAGTGCTTAGTTCAATCATATGGCGGTTACCAAATGGGGAACCCCATCAATAATAAAGATTTTGATCGAATATTAGTTGATTGCCTCGGTCGTCGATGAAAACCTGCAGTTATTAAATTGGTTTCTGAATAAATTTACCAGGCATCATAAGTTATTCTATTAAGGTTATAGCAGGATCTCAATTGAGTCGTGTTTGTTAATGATTAAGTTATCTCTGCCCTGAAAATTACTTCAATACATTAACATTATAACATTATTACATCATTCGTGTAACCTCACCTACAAAGAAAAACTACTTCGAGAAATCACACCCTTTACTTGCTGGGCAAGATATTTTTAAATAAAGCGTTCAAACCAAAAACTGTCCCCACGTATTAGCTGACGTAACATGTATGCGCCGCCAAAACACAAAATTCGTGATTTTTTTTACTAAAAGTTTTCAATATACAAGAGGGACCTAAAAAAAACCGGACTGATTGTTTGAAAATTTATTCATTTATCCGAAATCTTCTTTCACAATTTACCGGAGTGAGCTCCAACAGTCCCCTTGGGACAGTTCCGCAAGTTCTTCAATACTTCTACGTCGATCTTCAGGGATTAGGTCTCTAATTTTCTCAACATTTCGTTCAGTGTGGTAAGTGGAAAGACCTGAGAGAGGCTGGTTGTTAATTGAAATTTTCCCTTTTTTAAATCAGGAGAAGCGCTCGGAAAAATTGTGTTTGCCCCATGGCATCAACCCTGCAAGCTGTCAGTCGCATTTCCTTCATATTTTCACAGAAGAAAGCAAAATTTTATGGTAGCACGCTGCTCACGAAAATTAGCATCTCTAAAAAAGGACGAGAAGTATCACAACAAAAAAATTTACGATAGCGGATCACGGCCTTACAGGGCAGAAATGCATGGCACACTAACTGAGAAATGTCTGTAGAATATTCACATACTGGGTGAATTCGGTACTACCAAAGCTTCGCCCACCACATATGCACTCAGTTTTTAGCGCATTTTCTCGCCATGTCCGTCTGTCTGTCCGTCCGTGACCTCAAGTTTTCGTCGACGAGAAAATGCGCTCTCTGTAACTCACTGCAGTGAGTACTGAGTTATATTTTTTTTGTTTTGGTGTTTTTTCCTCGTATATTGCTTACCACGTAGTTTTCGAAGCGCGCAGACAGCGTGCCCATGTCGAACATGAGGGCTCGGTCGACCCTGGCGCGCGCCTTGGGTTCCTCAGGGTACAGCCAGTCGCCCTTGCCGTACTGCATCGCGAGGTACGTACAGATCGCGCGACTGCGACCAAAAGAGGTGAATGTCGTTCAAAAAAGTACACTTTGCTCGAAAAAGTGCACTTCACTCAAAAAGGTACACTTCACACAAAAAGGTACACTTCACACAAAAAGGTACACGTCACACAAAAAGGTACACTTTACTCAAAAAGGTGCACTTCACTCAAAAAGGTACACTTTGCTCAAAAAAGTACACTTCACTCAAAAAGGTACACTTTGCTCAAAAAAGTACACTTCACTCAAAAAGGTGCACTTCACTCAAAAAGGTGCACTTCACTCAAAAAAGGTGCACTTCACTCAAAAAGGTGCACTTCACTCAAAAAGGTGCACTTCACTCAAAAAGGTACACTTTGCGTATAGAAGGGCATGTCACTCAAAAATTAGCACTTCGCTCAAAAAGAAACAAATTCCCACGAAATGGTCCAGTCCAAGAAGGCAGGCGACTCGATAAGATCTATCATGTAATCATGATTGTCATTAATTTTTGCATTAGATACATCAATTTCTGAATTTTAATACATTGATACATAGATGAATTGGAGCACATTTTATAAAATTCTTTCATTGCCAATAATGTACGCTAATGAAAAATTAGTTTGTGGAGATTCCTGGTAGTTAAATCAATCAGCTCAACTCGGTACATGGGAATTAGGGAAAATTTTAAATAAAAATTCGCGCACTTTTCATGTGTAGACTGTATGCAAATTGAAGCATGTTAAGTTATTTCACAATCGTCTAAATTCTGTGTGAACATATAGAAGATAATATGCAATTGATAATGGAATGAAACATTCTGCATCTGTTTCTTGGACAAGGGAACATCCTCCAAAATTCCATTACTGAACCGAAAATGTAGAGTTACACTTCGCTCCGAATAAATCTCACTAATCTAATCAACGCTCTTTTTAAACCATTAGTTAATTTAATTAAAATTCCCACCTTTCCCACAGAACATGGTCACCATCAACGATAGTAGGTACAGTGTGTTCAGGGTTGAGTTGAGTAAACTCAGGGTTGAGTTGTTCACCCTTCAACAAGTTGAGTTCTTTAATGTTGATATCGAGACCCAACTGTCGGGCTGTTAGGAGGCAAGCGCGGCTTGGAGGAGAGAACGGCGAGTGGTAGAAGTCGATTGGTGCCATGGCTGCTCAAATAAAAATAGTAAAAATATTTGAGATTACTACGACTGCAAAGCGGTAAAAATTATATCATGTAAAAAAATTTGTGCCATGGCTGCTCAAATAAAAAATATTAAAAGTATTTATGATTACTAGGAATGAAAAGCGGTAAAAAATAAATGAAATCATTTACTATTGAAATTTCGTTCATTTGGATGGAGACTTAAACAAACAAATTTGAGAATGTTACTTGGTAACGTAATTGGAAATTTGTTTTGATAAAAATTTAAATTTCTTGCTGAGGATATATTACGGACTATATTGATGAATTCAAGCAATTATCTCGACGCAGATTTGGAACATTTATTTCAGATTTTACGTTAATATGTGCGGTATTGTATAGGATATAGATTTAATATATTATTATTATTAAGTTGCAATGAATTAGGTATGGGATTTTGGTTTCTCATTTTCAGTTTTCAATCACCTTAGCTATGACCTCTAGTGTGTGTCTTCTTTGTCATCGTACCGGTTGATCTTGCCCTGGAAGAGAACCTCAAGTTCTAGGTTGATGTGATGTTAGGTTTGTTGATGTGTATTTATATATATTCTTTTGTTAATTATATTCTTTTGAACTGCTTATTCATTGAAAAATCCCTGTCCATTAAAGTGCTTGATTGAAGAACTATTGCGGTTTTTTGTAGGGTGGAAGTGCTAGGGATCATTATTTGGTCGGGAAAGTCTCCTACAGCATATTGATGAATAAAAATTTTTTTTCGGTTCTATGATCTGAAATTACCAGGATTTGCAATCATAGTTTTGGATGCAAAATAGAGAGTCATTTAAGACTGTGGAGAAGAAGATTGGATAAAATATGGCAATTTTTAATTTTATTGTGTAAAGTAAACTTCCATAAAAAGTTTTCTTAAGATTTAGAAACAAAAGTCGAATGTTCTATGTTGAATGTGACTCAGCAGTGGCTTTTCATAACCGGTACATGAGTTTCTAAATTTATTCAGGAGGTTCGGTTACCGGGATTTTCAAATCCCATTATTGCTTTAGTTCAACATCAATTTTAAAAAATGACAAATTCTGTTTCCTTCTCATATTATAACGCTTGATAAATGGGAGTTAGACATTAATTTTGATTCCATACCCTCAGTGTTCATCCATTCAAGGTAATGAAAATTTAAACTGTTGGTTTATTATACAAATAGAATTTAAACAATGTAAGCTTGAAATGTCTAGCAATGTGTTCCATTACTTGACTGCGACAAACCATGGTTCAAATTATACTATATAATATTTTCGTTGCGACACAGTATCATGAGTCGGTAGTCAATCAAGTCACATGGCATATGTCAAGAGTTTCAAGCCGCGGATGTTCACAGTCATCGCTCACTGATAAACTCGTGAGATAAACCTTATCAATTTCTGATTCTTGTCAATGCATACATACAAGGTTACTAGATTTATAATTTAATAATTTAAACATATTTGGCCTAGATCACTTATTGTTAATATACGGTGAAGTCTAATGCTTGTATTTTATATTTTTAAACATATATTAAACTTATATAACAGACTTTACGTCGAGATACATCCCACATCTCATGAAAGAAGTTATGAAGATGGCTCACGGAAAGCCAATTTATTTTCGTTAACAATTAGTACCTTTCATTCAAATTGAATTGCTAGAAGATGTGCTCTATAACGTTAAGTATTTAAAAGAAAAGAAAACAGCGAGTCGATTCCCCGTATCTTCATTATAAACGTTTTAGAGACCAGCTCCATCATCTGTCCTAAAATCTTGCGAGAAATATTAAACTCTAATAAGCTTGGTGGTTTTATACTTTTATTATATATATCTTTGGCGCTTTTTCTTCGGTGCTCTTTTGATTAAATTTTACCTTTCTCTATTGAATGCATATTGTGCTCTTTTAATTTGTGAACTGAAAGGCTTTCGATGAAGATATAATGAATATAATAGGGGTTTGGCTTGCTTTAAAATTCTTGTTATTTAAGTAGATTAATGATATAATTAGATATATTTCTGCATAATTTTTCGTAAGAAGCCAAAAAATAATAATGATTATTTACGGTTAAAACCGATTAAGAATTATGTATTAAAAGTCTTTCATCTTTTACATTCCGTCTGGCATTTTTACTCCACAAATATTCTTCAGCCTCTCAGAGGCCTATATGCAGCACCAATAATACATAATTTTCATTATCTGTGCATTGGAGCCTTGAATTTTTTCGAGTCTCACGTAACAATAACTAGAGAGCTGTTCTAGAATATGTAAAAACTTATTCGCGCCAACCATCCCCTATCCCAATTCAACAAATTTTCAAGTCGCAGGAAATCAATGCTTATATCAATAACCATTATATCTATAAAATGACTTCAAATTAAAAACCGATTTGTTGTAGCTAAATTTCAACCCACACTAAAAATAGTTCCAACTATTAACCACCAATGATTCAAAGGAAGCTATGCTTAACCATCCCAAAGCACGGCCGCGTTTGGGTAAACTAACCTAATCCATATAATATGTATGTTAACATTCTAATTTTATATAAATGCTGTTTTCAGAGATAAAAATATTTGAAATATTTGTTATTGAACAAGCGTTTATTAAGTTCGATAACAAATATTAAAAATTTATCACGTTATACTTCACTTTAGATTCTGAACATTTTTATACTTTTTTTAAAGCAATGGCATATTATAATCCAATTTAACTTAAACAAAAGCGTGACAAGAAAATTTGCTACTTACAGAAGTAGCTTTAAAATGTCACCAAATTAGTTTTGCGGATGAATAGCGAAATCACAGAAACTTGCTAAAATAACATTTCCCTAAAAATCAAACGTAGTTTTTTAATTTGTCAAGCCTGTATAACGTAATGTCAACGTTGGTGCGTCAAAAAAGGTTCTAAAAGTGTATTATTTACCTCAATGGATGCTATGCCTGTAATGTGGTTACAGAAGATAAGACTGAGTAGAACTGACGCGAGCAGAAGCCGGACTGAGACAGATCATCAGAGGCAAGAACGTCGCCCAGATCTTATCAGTTGCAATCAGTTCGCTGATAACGCCTTCGTCGGTTGCAGGTAAATCTTTCATAGAAGAAATGATTAAAATTCTCGAAGATTAGAACGGCATTTGTGAAGTCTTTCGTGTATTTTCTAGCTGCGTATCCTTCCGTTAGCAGTCATTATCATCTTGATTTGATAAGTGTAAGATTTTTTCTTTGTTTATCAAAGTTTTTCAATAAATAGTCGTTTATTTCTGTCATTTTAAGTTTAATTTTTTATGTTTTTTATATGAGGTTTTTTAACATTGAATAGAATTCAGATCGAATGAAATTACTCATAAAGCTATCAAATGCAGTTCAAATTTTATTTTACAACACTTCTCTTTAACTTCACTTCTTAGTTGTTTGTTGGTCTGCTAAAATCTTATAATCGATATTTAATACACTTCTACCTCTCCAATCGATCTGAAATTTTGCACACTTGCGTAAAGTCGGAGGCAATGGCTGAATCGATTGACAAAATAAATAATAATATTTTTTTAATATTAGAAAATTTTTTTTAATTAAATTTTTAAAAATGAAATAAGAAATTCATTGTACTTGAGTAACATCGGAGGCACTGGCCTCCTCAAAAGTGATGTCTTTAAAAGTAATTTTTAAATGCATATTTTTTAAGTTCTCCTCAATTGCTATAGTCATTGATTCTCGACACGGATTTCATCCATGGAATTTCACTCTATCTTTCTTGAGATAAGATACGTACGAGATAATTGATAGCAAGATTGTGTCTCCTTGTCATCAAGACTAGCAAACACATTCATTAGTTTCTCGTTAATTAATTTTCAGGGGAATCTACCCGTAATTTTAATTCAATTTAAACTCATTTTTTCCTGAAGTTGAATTTCCCTCACTTGAAAGTTAATATAAAACAGCTATATATATTTTCATGTTTAACAATACTTGGCAAAATGGCATTTAATAACGATCTTATTTTAAATACTTTACCATGCAACTGCTAAAACTTCATTCATTTCAACTTGAACCGTACTACGCGCCATAAATCTCACTAGACTTCAGAGAATCGAATTTTTCATAAGTGAAGCCGGCAAGTTTATGGAATGTGATTAGACGTAAAGACCGAGTCATACATCATAAGCCTTGTGCCGAGCGCAGGCCTGAAAAAACGCTCGAGTTCGCCGAAGAGGATAATGAATGTTTAACTTTAGCCTCCGGACTTGATTGAAATTATTAAGAGTGTTTTTTTTTTCGCCTGGAGCAACACGCTCAAGTTTGGGGGGCAAGGAAATATTCAACCAAGTCTGATCCGGCAAGTTCTCAGCCCTGAAGTACGAGTACATGAACATAAATTATTATTAAGTAATAATAATAAATTCTTATTATTATTTAAATCATTATTATAAATTTTATAATTAAATTTTAAAATTATTAAAAAATAACGAGTACATGCTTCTTGACATAAGCATGACAAACTCTAAGCTTCATATTACGTTCCAATGTTTTAATTTAAGAAAGGGAGGAGAGGGGAGAATTTCTGTCTATCTATCAAGTACTTTTAACTATTTTTCAAGCGAAAAATTTTCTTTCTGAGAATAATTAGTAAATTCAAAGCTTTTATTCTGAAATCAAATGTGTTTTGCAATAACAATGTTAATTAAAGCATCAGCAGGATTAAGCTTTACTGAAAAATACTTTTGCAGGCTTACTCGCTAAATATTAATGTAAAATCGCATTAAAATTTCAGAGATATATAATTATGATGTTCTAGAAATTTCCTCCTGTAGTCGTAAGAGTTTATGAACATTTATTTTTTATTGTTTGTAAATATATAAACATTTGTGAATCAGCTGAAGATGTCGGGAAATGACTTTACAGCTGAAAAATGAAGACATCAATGAGAAGGAAATCACTTCTCCACTGATTAACAATAATACACTAATTGTATTAAGCAAAAAAGTTATTCATGAATATATTGTAGCTCAAATTCAAATATTGAAACAAACGTCCACAGGATCTCTTAATAGCTCGCTAATCTACGTCTCATGAGAGTTGATCTTTTTCTAGAAATATTCAGGTCGAATCGCAATCCTTAAAGATTTCCTTTTCGGGAGCTTTGCTCTGTATTCAAATTTAGCATTTCATGTGTAATTATATTACATCTATGTTTCTTGCTGCTTCATTTAAACAACTGTCCATTACAATGCATGGATCTCATTTTAACAGACTCATTAATTAAGACGTGTATTGGTCTTATACATATTTAGAGCAAATGTCATTTGTACGAACTAATTCATACCGCGAATTCTATAAGCATCAGGCAGCTCCTTCTACATGGCATGTTCGCCATGCCATAAGACTCACTCATGCGAACCCAACTTCAACCGCATATGAAGCATGCGTTGCTCAATTCTTCCTACACGGCGTAAGCATAAATGAATATGAGTACAGTGCCACAATAACTAATACGGAAGGCCTAAAAAAATTTCATGCGAAACCTAGATCCCGCCACATGGCAAGACCACAATGCCACACATGTGTAAGCGACTCCCAGTCCCCGCCACATGTCAAGACCCCAATGCTACACATGTGCAAGCGACTCCTAGTCCCCGATACGTGTCAAGACCACAACGGCACACATGTGTAAGCGACTCTCAGTCCCCGCCACAATGCAAGACCACAATGCCGCTTATGATATAAGGGACTCTCAGTCCCCAGCACATGGCAAGTCTACATATTTTATAAGCGAATTCCAGTAACCACCACATGGCAAGTCCACAATGCTGCAGACGGCAGAGAAGTTGGTTGGCGTGAGTGGAACTTAGTCTCATTATCATAGCTGAATATGCGGTCCCGGCGGGTTTGCTCCGTAGACTTCGTTAGACAAGTTTTAAGTTGTCGGCCGTTGAAAATTGTTCAACAAGAAGCCTTTCCTCGTTGTAATATCGTCAACTCATTGTCAGGAGCGAATATTTTACTGGTCATTGTGTGGAGTGAATATTGTACAGCTCATTGTAAGGACTGGATATTTTACTGCTCACTATCACAAGTATATGTTTTACTGCTCATTGTCACGAGCGAATATTGTAATTTTCATTGTGAATGCATTATTTTCAAAAGTGTACATGTTACTGCTCTTTTCCTAGAGTTAATTTTGCTCTGTTCATTGTCAGGAGTGAAATTTCACTGCTCATTAAGTGTAATTAGGAGACTGTAGCTCAATTTTTGGTATATTTTTTTAATTTACTTTCTGTATGACAGGCATTTCCTTTTAACGCATTACCGTTTTATTAGAGGAGGTGGCAGGATTTGGGGCAAACGTAATTTCATATCAAGTATAGTTCTATAACTATTTGCGGACTGTACTGATTGGCTTTTATGTTCAGCCTATACATACCTTGCGCATTCAATACATTTTTACGATCACAGCATAGTGAATGCTGCACAGACCGTATCTATAGTTAATTTGCTAGTAAGAAATCTATCGAAATAGTGAGACTCCACACATTCGGTGTTCATTTCATGTGCTATTTATTTTTATGTTTTATTATGTTTTATTTATTGTTCTGTGGTGTATGTTTAGAAACCATTCCAGACAAATCAATTTCACTCTTCTTCATTTCTAATATTTTTACCTGCAAAAATAAGCCGTGATTTACTACGTGTATATGGGTCGTATTTTTTCAGCATTTATTTTGTTGCTACTTTTTGCATAATATGTTCACGAAAAATCAATCTCACTCTATTTCATATCAAATATTTTTACCTGCAAAAATTAGCCGTGTTTCCTACGTGTATATGGGTCGCTTTTTTTTGGGTCCCATTTTTTTGTCATTTTTCCATAATATATTCACGAAAAATCAATCTCGCACTACTTCGTTTCTCCCACTTTTTATTGAAAAAAAAATAAGCCGCTATTTTCTACGTGTATATGGGTTGCATTTTTCCAGCATTTATTTTTTGCTACTCTCGGCATTATATATTCACGAAAAATCAATCTCGCTCTACTTAATTTCTCCTACTTTTTCTTGCAAAAATATGCCGTGATTTTCTACGTGCATTTGAGTCGCTCTGCAGGGGAGTAGGAAAGTCAACGTGCCCATGTGCCTAGCGGGAGCTCCCAGGGCGATTCCATCTGATAACTTCGACAAATTGACTCGAGTTGCAGCACAAAAGTTGAATTAGAACGCCCTCGCAAAAATGCCAACGCTTGTTGGCTTGCAGATGAGAAAACGTCGAAAATGTCAGATCTTGCCAGGCGTGGAAACTTGGGACGATGAAATAATAAGGATGGAAGGGCTTAAGTCATCCTCAGCACATTACTATTGAGTCATCAAATTGTAAAGGTACATCGTACATTTTACATCAAATTGTAAAACTTCTTTGTATCGGTTATCTATTGTAGCGGAACGTAATGGCTACACTTACACATAGGGTTTCTGACCTCAGGCCCCAGCGATACGTGGATGGTATAAAACAATTCACGACGTATTCCAGGCCGAGATGTATATCTACAGATTGAGAAATTCCACCGTCATTATTGTTCACTTGGATTTATACGACAATGAACGTGAATAACAGAAGATTTTAGTGATGAATGGCACGATCATAGTAGAAGGAGGCTGGCTCTCGACTGTAGTGCAGCAACAAGAACCAACACCAGGGGCCACGGCTATAAACTAAAAAAACAGCGTTGGAACACATCCATGCGACAACATTTCTTCTCGCTTCGAGTCACCGACATGTGGAACAGCCTACCTGATAGCATCGTTGACGCTACGAGTATGAACATCTTCAAAAACAGACTAGACGAAGCTATGCAGGAGTATATGTTCAGTCTTAAAATGCCTAGCAAATTACGGACCAGGCAATAAGTCCAGCAGCTATCTCAATCAATCGTCAGCTATGGAAAGATCGGGTTCCAAAGGCCGGATCCCTTGTGAATCAAGTCACGAAAAGCTCAAAGA